GTTGCAGCTCTTCTCCTGGCCTGGATGTTTGCTGCCTTCCCTAAGGATGCCTGGCTGCCCAAGTCCGTGTGCTCACCACAGTACCTGCTCACCAGGTTCAGCAGGAGCAGCGAGCACAGGGCAGTGGCAGGTGGCAGCAGGAAGCCATCCTGCTGGTCCTACCCCTCGTGGTATCCCTCCTTAATGCACTGATGCCCCACCTGTACAACTTGCTGGCGATGTGGGAGAAGCAGGACTCCCCTGTGACACAGGTCTACGTGGCCATCTGCAGGTGGGCTGGCGGGGGCTATGGTGGAGGGAGTCCTGCACCCCCACCTGTGGCATGGGGGATGCTTTGGGGCCAGGCACCCTGTCTGTGGGGCTTGGCCCCTCCTTCCCCTGGGCTCAGAGGCTCCTGGCCCTGCTCCTGCTCTCCAGGAACCTCATTCTGAAGATGGTGGTCCTCAGCCTGCTGTGTTTCCAGTGGCTCAGCCGGAGTGTTGTCTGCTCAACAGAGGAGGTCAGCACTGCTGCCCTGGGGCCGTGAGGGGCCAGGCTCAGCATGGGGCCATGGAAGGAACTGGTGGTTTCTTCCTTATTAGATATTAGGAAGAAATTCTTCCCTGTGGCAGTGGTGAGGGGCACTGTGCACAGGTTTGCCCAGAGCAGCTATGGCTGCCCCATCCCTGGAAGTGTTTAAAGCCAGGTTGGACAGGTCTCGGAGCAACTTGGTCTAGTGGAAGGTGTCTCTGCCCATGGCAGGAGGGTGGAATGAGATGAGCTTTAGGGTTCCTCTAACTCAAAGCATTCTGTGATTGTATGCCACCCTTGCTTGTATCTCTAGTGCTGGGAGACATGTGTGGGGCAGGACCTTTATCGCTTTGTGGTGATGGATTTCATATTCACCTTGCTGGACACGCTCTTTGGGGAGCTGGTGTGGAGGTAACGTGCCCCAGGATGTGTCCCCCCCCCCCGGTGTTGTGTCCCTGCACGGCCCCAGCTCTCTGGTGTGCCCAGGCTCTGCCACATCGGAGTGGGAAGGTGGGTGCAAGGGTCCCCCTGGGCAGTGTGGAAGCAGAGCTCTGCTCCTCTCCAGGCTGATCCTGGAGAAGAGGCTGAGGCAGAGACCCGAGTTTGACATTGCCCGAAATGTGCTGGAGCTGATCTACGGGCAGACCCTGACCTGGTGAGATGTCTCTGCCTGATGTGGCTCCTTCCTCTGCTGACAAATACCTTGTGTTCCCCAAGAGCCCCGTGGGTGCCCCAGCTGTGCCCACCACTGGCTCCCTTGGGGCTCAGACCCAGGCGAGCTCGTCTTCCCCCCATTCCCAGGCTGGGCATTCTCTTCGCTCCGCTCCTGCCAGCCGTGCAGATGCTGAAGCTGCTGCTGCTGTTCTATATCAAAAAGGTGTGATTCCCTCTGCCCCCTGCAGTTCCCCACTGGTGACACAGTGGTGACACTGTGCCCTGCCACTGCCAGCCTCTGCTGCAGCAGAGGTGCTGCACAGAGCAGCCCCGTCCTGGTGGGACTGAGCAGAGGTTGCTGGGGAGAGGGTGTCCAAGCTCACTTGGCTTCCAGCGGGTAGGAGGGAGAGGACAGCAGGGTGGGGGCCACACTTCAGGAGCTGGCAGCCCACAGGACGCTGCTCCCTGTTCACAGACCAGCCTGATGCGGAACTGCCAGTCCCCCAGCAAGCCCTGGCAAGCGTCGCATATGAGCACCATTTTCATCACCCTGCTGTGCTTCCCCTTCTTCCTGGGTGCAACCATCTTCCTCTCCTACACCATCTGGTCGTGAGTACCCACCAGGCTATGCCTTGGGGCACAGGACCCCTGGCAGCCTGGAGATGGAGGGGCTTGGAGACACCATGCCCCCCAACCCCAACATCCCCAGCCCCAGGTTGTGCAGTGCTGTCCCAGGCAGGGAGGTGCTACCCAGCCACTGGCTTGTGCCCACTTCCTCCAGCTGTTCACGGGTGTTCCTGGTGCAGGACACAAGGATTAAGATCCATGGGGATGCTGGGGACAGTGAGACTGGGTCCCAGGAGGGCTGGATGTCTGAGACAGGCAGTGCCCTGGGCTGGGGGCAGCGGCTGCTGGGCTGCCCATTGCTCTGACCACCCCGTCGGTCTGTCTGCTCAGGGTGCAGCCATCAGAAACGTGCGGACCCTTCCGGGGGCTAGAAACCATCTACAAATCAGGGAAGAGCTGGGTGCTAGTGCTGCAGAAGTCCAACCCCAACATCACTTGGTTCGCCTGGGTCCACCAGCACCTGGTGGAGAACACCTTCCTCCTGTTCTTCACGTCCGGGGCCCTCCTGTGAGTATGGACTAAAGCCCAAGGCTGAATCCTGGGCCTTGCTTTGAGGGTCCCACTGCCATGGCCCTAAGCAGGGCTGGGAGCTGGGGTGACAATCCAGAGCCCTGTGCCCCATCCTGGTGCCAGGAGCACAGCGTTCCTCAGCTTCCTGCCCAGTTGCCACCATCCCCTCCTGTTGTTGCAGAGCTGTGATCTACTTCTACATCCAAGTGGTGAGAGGCCAGCAGAGGGTCATCTGCCTGCTCAGGGAGCAGATCGCCAAGGTGTGTGAGCGCTGCGCCCTGTCCCTGCCCGTCCCGGCTGCTCCAGGCCTGGTCCAGCCCCAGGACTGCCAGTTCAGGCTCTGGCCCTGGCAGCACTGCCACTCAGCTGTCCCACGGCTCTGTTGTTGCAGGAGGGGGAAGATAAGATATTTCTCATGCAGAAGCTTCACTCCGTTTATGAGCAGCGAGAGAGACGTGCCTGAGGCCCAGGTAAGGCTGGCATGAAGGGCTCGATCTGTCCATCACAATACTGTGCTGGAAGCTGCAGGACCACAGGATGCTGGGGAAGATCCTCCCTGCTTGCTGTGGCCAAGGACCCATTGAGGCATGTCAATAGGAATGCCATGGCACAGGGATGCAGGTGCTCCTGCTTCCTGGAGCTGCTGGGATGCAGCACGTGCAGAACTAGGACTGCTGTCACACCCCAGGGCACAGCTCCATGTGGGGCTGCCTCACCACAGCCCTGCTCTGTGGGTGGTCACTGCTTGCAGAGAACAGCTCTCCAGCTCTCCTCCCTACCAGCCCACTGGCCCCATGGAGAATGGCCCTGGGCTGTTTTCAGAATCCTTTGGAGACAGCAGAGCTTTCTGGATGGAGAAACCTGCAGCTCATTTCACGTTGTCCAGGGGCAGCAAGGATGGAACTGGGAGCTGCCAGGCACTGACACGGCTGACCCAGCTCCAGCCCCGTGCCTGGCTTGCCAGGAGAGCAGCTGTCTGATCCCAGTCCCACGAAAAAGGCCTCTGGGCCACCCCAGCAGCCCTACACACACTGCACCAGTTGGCAAGACGGACTCAGAAGAACCACTGTGGTGCTGGGCTGAGCAGGGACCCCGTGGGCTCAGTCTGACCTGGCCCATTAAAGTGCTGCTGCACAGGAGGGCTCTGGCTGGTGTCTGGACCTGTTGGGCTGGAAGCAGGCAGGTGGGGTTGGTGCGTCAGCGCTGGTTGTAGTGGTGACTCAGCAGCTGTGTCAGGGTGTGCTCAGACTCCTCGGCACCGCCTGCTTGCCCATCCGACTGCCCAGGGCAGAGCACAGCTCAGCCCACACCGCTGGAGCGAGGGCCACTGCCACCCTGTGAGCCATGAGCCACTGTGGGCAGTGTCTGCAGCCCCCGGCACCAAGAGCTGCTCCCCTCCATGGCGCACTGCTGGCAGCCCCAAGCCCTGGGACAGCAGCTGCCCCTGTGCCACAGCACTGACAGGCCCAGGGCGGGATGTGCCACTGTGTGTGCCAGGCACAGGCAGCCACCAGTACCCTGTGACTTGGCACTGGCGCCGCCGGGTGAGGCAGCTGGGCCAGGCCGGGCCATCAGCGCAGGCACAAGGCGGGTTATTGTCATGGACAGACACTGGTCATAGGTGTGGGCATGGGGTGGGTCCTGGACACAGCCCCAGCCCTTCTTGGGATGCATTAAGAAGAGTATTGCCAGCAGGTCACGGAGGTGATCCTGCCCCTCTACCGAGCCCTGGTGAGGCCACATCTGGAGTGCTGTGTCCAGTTCTGGGCTCCTTAGGACAAGAGGGACATGGAGCTCCTGGAACAGATCCCACAGGCTACAGAAATGATTAAGGGACTCGAGCATCTCTTATGAGGACAGGTTGAGGGAGCTGGGCCTGTTCAGCCTCAAGAAGAGATGTCTGAGAGGGGACCTCTGTCAGTATCTGCAGGGAGGTGTCAGAGGATGGACCAGATTCTGCTCAGGGGTGCCAAGCAATAGGACAAGAGGCAACAGGCAGAAATGGATGCACAGGAAATTCCACCTGAATACAATCCTGATGGGCCCCTTCCAACTCAGCATATTCTATGATATTCTATGAGAAAGAACTTCTTTCCTCTGCAGTGACCACACACCAGAACAGGCTACCCAGAGAGCTGGTGGAGTCTCCCTCACTGGAGATACTCCAGAACCATCTGGATGCAATCCTGTGCCATGTGCTCTGGGATGACGCTGCTTGAGCATGGAGGTTGGACCAGACAACCCTCTGTGGTCTCTTCCAGCTTGACCCATTCTGAGATTCTCTGAGCCCAAGTGAGTGCTGGGGAGCAGCCACAGGCTGGAACTTGCTACAACTTGTGAGACATCCCTGACTGAGACATCCCTGTCAGTGGGCCTACCCCAGCTCCTGACACCCACCCAGGTTCCCCAGTCCTCCCACACCTTTCCCCAGGTCACCCCACAGTGGCTGGACTGGCACGATGCCTGTAGGGCCAGAGCTGCTGGCAGGAGCCCCATATGCACTCAGTCTCCAACCTGGGCAGCCTTACCAGCCCCTGCCCTGCTTAGCCCAGCTCAGATGCTGCCCTAGCCCCCAGCCCCACTGCAGCAACCCCTCCTGTGCCCAGAGGTGCCAGCACGGTCTGGCCTCTGAGCCTTCTGCTCATCCCTTCCCCAAAAGCCTGGGGTTTCCTCCCAAGCACAGGGCAGCCACCAGCCTGGACAGTTTGGTCAGAGTTTTACTGTGAAGTCCCACGGGGATACAGTCTGTCACCAGCCTGTGACACTGCTCCAGGCCCTGCTCCCAGCACCACACAAGGCAGCTGCTCCCTGGCCACCTTTGGTGACAGAATTGTCCTGGGCTGCTGCAGGCACCTGGCAGGGTTGGGGTCAATGGGGGTTTCCAAGGGTGGCCCGAAGCCACTGCAGGACATCGGCCAGACCGGTCCCGTTGCGGGCGCTGGTCTCCAGCATCGTGATGGGCTGCGTGGCACAGGACACGATGTCCTGCATGCGGAACAGTGACTTCATCTCCAGCAGCGACATGTAGCAGGGCAGGTCACTGCAGTGGGGAGAGGGGGGCTGCATTAGCCCACCACAACAGCTCCCCTGCCCAGCCCAGCACCAGCCTGGGGGTCTCCAGCCCGGGAAGTGCAGCAAAGTGCAGCTGCTGCCCCCGGGCAGCCCCACCCTCCGAGCTGATCCCCCTCCTCACATCTTGTTGAAGAGCACCAGGACGGGCACGGAGGCGAGCGGCGCTGCCGAAAGGACGGAGAGCAGCTGGATGCAGGACGAGGAGACCTGGGTGGGGTTGGAGGCATCGACCACGAACTGCAGGGGGAGAAGGGAAAGCGGGGTGCAGGTGTGCCGAGGGCAGCCCAGGGCGCCGGGCCAAAGCAGGGCACGGAGGAGGGAGATCTCACGGGGTGCCGGTGCCGCTCACCAGAAGAGCGCTGCACTCGCTGTAGTAGCTGGGCCAGATGGGGCCCATGCAGCCGCCCAGCTCCCGCACCGTCACCTTCCGCGGCAGCCGCAGGTCGGTCAGGTTGGTGCCCACCTGCGGGACAGGCGCTGGGCTGGGTGCGGCCGTGCCCGCCGCCCCCCGCCGCCCCTCGGCCCCGCCGGGCCCTGCCTACCGTGGGCAGCGTGGCCGGGGGCTCGCCCAGCCCCGCTGGCTCCTCGGCGCTCAGCTGTGCCGCGCGTTAAGGACTCGCGCTGAGGAGGGGAAGGGGCTGCCCGGACCCCCCCGCCCCCGCCGGTCCCCCCGGTGCCCCCGTGCCCGGTGGATATGGCGTAGCCGCCGCACCAAGAGGCTCTTGCCGCCGCCCGCCGCCCCCAGCAGCAGCACCGTGGGCGGGGGCCGACCCGCGGCCATCGCGGCCCCGCCCCGGCGGAACCGGCCCCGCCCCGGCGGAAACCGGAAGCGGAAGGGCCGCGGAGGGGCGGGGACGGACCGGGCCGGAGCGGTCGGGCCGGGCCGGCGGCGGGAGGACACCATGGGGCGCGGCAGCGGCACCTTCGAGCGGCTCCTCGGTACCGGCGCGGCCCCTTCGGCGGGCGAGGCGGGGCCCGGGCTGGGGTCCGCAGCAATCGGCCCCGGAGAGGGCGGGCCCGGGGCACGGCGCTGCCCGGGCCGGGGCTCGGTGCCGCAGCCCGATGCTTTCCGGGAGGAGCGGGAGCGGTGGGGCCGAGGTTACCGAGGGCCCCGGGATGTCTTAAAGGGGAGAGAGGGCTGGTGCCTTCCGGGAGACATCGGAGGTTTATTCCTGAGCCTCGGGACAGCGCCGCGCCCGGGGCGCTCCCGCGACACGTCGGTGGCGGAGCGGAGCCGCGGGGAGCGGCCGCTCACGGCATCCCGGTGGGTTTATTCCTTGCAGATAAGGCCACGAGCCAGCTCCTGCTGGAGACGGACTGGGAATCCATCCTGCAGATCTGCGACATGATCCGACAGGGAGACACCCAGTGAGTGCTCCTGGGCTTTCGGACGTGCTGTGGGCACAGCTCTCGTGTCTGACCCTTCGGGGGTTTTGGACCTGCCAGCCCGTGGGAGCACACGTGTCTGTCCCCTTCCACAGGAGCTTTGGAAGGGCAGTACAGCACACCTCAATGTGCTGACATTCTTCCCAGACCTCAGGGGTTACAGGTTACCCCTGGCCTGAAATCCTCAGGGAAACTCGAGCTTGAATGTGCTTATTCCTTCCCAGTTTCCTCCAAGGAATTGTGTACCCCTGAGCTAACTGTGCCCTCATGTCAGAGGGGGGGTTGGCGGGTTGGCAGCAGCAGGTGGGATCTCCCCTAGGATCCTTGATCCCCTGAGGATGTGTCCTCTCTTTTGTACCCAGAGCGAAATACGCCGTCAACGCCATCAAGAAGAAAGTGAATGACAAGAATCCCCACGTGGCCCTGTATGCGCTGGAGGTAACAGCACCAGACCAGGAGCACCGCGGGGACCTGGGGAATGTCCCCTCTCGCCGTCCTGCCTTCAGGCTGCACAGCTTCCCTGCCTGGGGCACAGCATGGAGCCAGCCTCCTCCTGGCTCTGGCACAGAGGTTTTGGGATGATCAGGCCAGGGCCTTTATGCTTTAGGTCTGTCTTGGCTTTGGAACAGGCAAAGCTGGGACTTGGGCCGCTGTCCCTGGGGTCAGTCTCCAGAGAACAAAGGCCCCCCAGGCTCCTGTGGAGCTGAAGGGCAGCTGGTTCCCAGCATGGGATATGGATTGACACGGCCCCAGTGTGTCTCATTGCTTAAATAGTGCCCTGTGTTCAGCCTGTACAGTGCGCTGGCAACACCATGGGTTGCAGAGGAGGCAGGAAACCGTGGGCTGATGTTGTTCTTGGTCCTTGCAGGTCATGGAGTCAGTGGTTAAAAACTGTGGCCAAACAGTTCATGACGAGGTGGCCAATAAACAGACCATGGAGGAGCTGAAGGAAATACTCAAGGTAAATCGATTTGTTTTTCTATCATTTTTTTTCTGGAAAAGCACCAGCAGCAGGAGGAAATGTGTGTGTCCTCTCCTGCATTCCTTTTGGGTAAGGAACAGAAGGGAAACTGGGAGTGCACTCCAGAAAAGAGCAAACTATCATGTGGTGTGAAGGGGTGAGTGTAGGGAGCGAAGGAGGATCTCTGGGAAGAGGAGATGTGGTGGAAGCAGAGGTTTGGCTGTGCTGTGAACAGGCAGGAATGTGTTGTAGAGGCCTGGACCATTCCATGATAAATGCTCCTGGATGCAACACTTGGCTTGGGACAGCTAAGGAAACCAGGTGATGGCCTGGCACCTGCATTGAGGACCTGGGCAGTGGTGAGGTGAATTCCCTCCCACAGAACAGTGTGAGACACACAGGCAGGTAAAGCAGTAAAGGAAAAACCAACAGGAGCTTCCTCTGTGTTGTGGCCATTTCACCACCCTGTGGAATAGTTCAGGAGTTCTGCAGGATGTGACCCTGGTTGCTGGCACTGACAAGATTTGTCACAGGCTACCACCAGTCTGATACCTGCAGGAGCTCTGTGTGTCCTTGGTCTGGAGAATTCCATGAGTGAAGTGGAAATGAGAACTCCTGTCTCCCGCTCCCAGCTCAGAACAGCAATGCCCAGACAAGAGCTTGTTAGCATCATGCTGTTCCTTCCTTACAGCTCCTATCTTCCACCAGAAATAAACAGCCAGATGACCCAGATCCTTGCAGGATGAGTTGTGTGAGCCCTGTCACCTCACACACTGAACAGGGTGTCTCTCCTGTCACCTTCCTGTTAGGGCTGACTCAGTTTCCATGCAGGATCTCCTCCCAGGAGGGAACACTACTTCAGTGGGACAGCCAGGTGTGGTAGCACAGCCTCTCCAAGAGCTGAGGAGATCAGATCAGATCCAAGGATTTTGTGGTTCTCTCAGTCCTTGCCTACCTCAGGAGTTTCACAACTGCCCCATTTTCCTCCCACACTTGGAACTTTGGGGCTCATGAATGCCCAATGCTGGTAAAACAATTCAAGTTCTGATGAAGTTCAGGGCTGTGACGTGTGTGGAATGCAGGATCTTGCCAAACCTTCCAGTAGTTGGACCTCCAGGAATTCTCAGTAAGTCACACTGTGTGGACTGAGCTCTTGGCTGAAATTGGAGCTTGACAGTGCTCCTGTGCTTCCTGGGGGATTTCTGGAGCAGCTGGTCATGTGGATGCAATGACTTGGGCAGCTGAGGACAGGGCATCTCCGAGGCTGGCTGAGCTCAGAATAGGCTTGCCAAGTTTTTTCCAGCCTCTGAAAGTGTGATACAGTTGCCCCTGCCTCCAAAGGGCAAGCGCCCCAGCTGTCCTCACTGTGTCACATTCTGAGATGGCTTTGAGTATTCCTGGGCTGGAGGTGCTGACACCTCCAGGCACCCCCAGCACTGTCAGTGCCCGGGCGAGGCAGGCTGTGCTGTTCTGGGCAGTTGAAGGTCCCGCCGTGTTCCGAGTGTGGGATGAGCAGCTCTCTTGAGGGGAGCTGCTGGGTGGGCTGGGCTGCTGTGGGTCCCGGAGCCCCTGTGCCTGGCCCTGGGCGTTTGCTCAAAGTATCAAGGCCACAGACCTGTTCAGTTGGTCTGTGCTGCTCTGTTGTTCCTGCCGAAGGGGGGCAGTGGGGCAGCCGAAGGGGTCTGTCATTTGTGTTGTGCATCATCCTCACTGTGGGTTTCTGACAGCTCTTGTTTCTCATGAGTACTCTAAAGTCTCTCTTTCCTGACTGGTATTTCTGGCTTCTCTTTGGGGGGTTCACACCATCCTTTGGGTTTCAGGCGCTTTTTCTCAGATGTTTTCTCCTCCCTTCCTGTGCAGAGGCAAGTGGAGACAAGTGTCCGCAGTAAGATCCTGTACCTCATCCAGGCCTGGGCTCACGCCTTCCGCAATGAGCCCAAGTACAAGGTGGTGCAGGACACCTATCAGATAATGAAGGTTGAAGGTGAGGACCGTGGGCACAGGTTGGGGGACACCTGGCCAAGCAGCTCTGCTCTGCAGGAGCCTTGGCAGGACCTGCCTGACGCGAGCAAAATCTGGACTTGCAGCACTGAGCTTTTCCTTGGTGCCTGATACCCAAGAAACCCCTTGCAGTGACTGAATCCCACTGCAGAGATGGGACAGCCCCGTGGTCCCAGGATCAGGGGTGCCTTGCTCTGGGCCTCCAGCCCAACCAGAAGTTCAGGGCTGGCGAGAAGACCTGAACAGCAGGAGGTGCAAATGTTCTTGGGGAGACTGACAGCAAGTCAGTGTGTCCTCTGGGGTGGGATTTGCTTTGAGGCAGTTCCTTCCTCCCAGGCTTTCATTCCTGCTCCCAGGATGGGTCCATGCTCCCCCTTTCTGACAGAGTATTGGTGTGATGCTTTTCCTCCTATCCCAGGACAGCAGTGTCCCCTTCAAGGGCAGGGACACGCTGCTGCCTCTGCCTCCTGTGCACCAGAACCTCTGTGGGCAGTGGCAGAGCCTGGAGGGCCAGTCCCCCCAAGCTGGTGTTGACACACTCTGGCCATTCAGGGCCAGAGTCACACAGCCCTACCTGCCCACCCAGTGGGCTTTTTATCCCCCCATGCTCAGTTCAAGGTCTTGAGAAATAAGAAGCCTTATCCAGAGGTTCCTTATGTCCCTTATAAGTGCATAAGGGAAACCATCAGGGATTGTCTTGAAGTGGGGCTGAGGGGAGGCTGATGCTGGTGTGTCGGAACAAGGTACCAGTCAGGGCAGGAGTTGGTGCTGAGCTGGATCTGGTGTTTGTCCTGGCACCTACAGCATGAGACTGCAGGCACCAAGGCCCCCCTGTGCCAGAGGATTCCTTTCACAATGGGACTCTGCTTCTCCTGCAGGTCATGTCTTCCCAGAGTTCAAGGAGAGCGATGCCATGTTCGCTGCTGAGAGGGTGAGCTGTGTGGTGGGGGGAGCTGGCACTGCAGGACAGACCTGCCCTCCCATCCTCTCCCTGCGAAACCTGCAGGTCTTGCATTCCTCCCTTTCATGCAGACTGGAGACCTTGCTGGGAGAACTGACAGGGGCAGGGAGTCAGTCCCATCATTCCCCTTTCTTGGTGGCCTTGCATCATCTTGGCAGGCTGAACGTGGCAAGGCATTGCTGAAGTGATCACTGTGCAGACACGTTCCTAGAGAGCTTTGTGCTAAGTGTGAAAGTGTCACAGTCTCTAAGGAACACAAGAGGGGATAACTTGTGGGGATTAATATTTCCTGTTGAGCTGCAAGTGCCTCCATTCTCCCCCATGCACGAGGGCCCTGTTAGCCATTGGAGCTCCTGAAAGGCCCAGTGTAGACACTGTCCTTAAAGCTCTACTCCCTCCTTACGTGATTTCCCTTGACCCTGACAGGCTCCGGACTGGGTAGACGCTGAGGAGTGTCACAGGTG